CACGACGAGTGGGCAAGCATGCAACTTCACCAGGGTGGCGGCCTCGTCAGACGAACCGGTTTCGTCCCTAAGCCACCTGGCGACGCGAACCGCTCGCAGGGCGTCGTAGTACTTCCGCACATCCTGCTGGCAGGCGCAGCCCTTGGATTCGTCGTCCTTGCCTTTCTCGATGACGAGCGCCAGCGGATGAACGGCGTCTAACGTCTGGCGCCTGCTTGGCGCACTCCAGGTACGGCGAAATCGACGCGGCCGGCAAGACGCGGGCCGAGTACCTGTCGACGATGTCGTGCACACGCTTTGCCAAGAGGTAGTCGACGACCGCCAGCACCACAGGCAAGGGAAGTATGGTGCGGACCTTGGTGGGCGGGATGGCTCCGGGGCGCTTCGCGCTCGCCCTGCCCAGGATGATAAGGCTGACCATTTCTTCTTGGCTTCTCGCGAGGTCGAAGAAAGCCTGGTGCACGGCGTCCGGCCGGGCCTCGTAGAGGAGCCGGAGGGCTGCGACCGTGATGCCGTTGTTGTCCATAACCGCTGCATGGCGGAGGCCCGCGAGCGCATCTGCAAGCTCTTTCTTGGAGAAGGTTATTCTGGCGTTGTCACATGACCGCAGGAAATCGTTCTGCACGCTCAAGAGGTGCGGGTTGCCGCACCGCCACAAAGCGCGGAACTCGGCCTCGATCATGGAAGCCTACTCCTGGTGGGCGACGGTCTCACCTCCGTCTGGTGCTTGCATGGCTCGGAGCGGTAGAAGCTTCTTGGACTTCCAGTTCACCTTGCCTTCGTTCAGTCGTTGCGCTTGGCGGATCTGTCGAAGCGCGGTGGCCAAGTGACGCGGGCTGTATGCAGTTCCCTCCGAATCCATTGCTGCTGGCGCCTGTCTGTGGCCGCCCTGGCTCGGCGTCGTAGCTCTTTGACCGCTGGAGGTTCCCTGGTGCTCTGGCGGGCTGCGCATGCGCGGCTGTCGGCGCTCTCGTGCTGGAGCTGGGCGACCCAGGCCATGAGGTCAGCGGTGTTCTGGAAGGTCTGAGGCGCGTGTGTCTTCGCCCACGCGACGGCGGCCTGGCCGTCCCGGCATCTCCACGTTGAGGGGCCCACGATCGTCCGTGTCGCCTGGCCAACGTCTGCGTAGGCAGCGATTGCTGCATGGTCCGAATAGAAATCTGTCTAGTAGCCGCGAGCGGCATGCACGCATCCATCCGAAGCGACATGGTCAGTCAGGGACGGCTGCGGACGTTAATGATGGGGTCGACACTGGCGTCGGCGCGGGCTCGCTGCGGGCGTTCATGCCGGCGTCGATGTTGTCGAGAGGGCTGGTTTCCATGCGGAGATGCGGGCGTGGGTGCTGGCGTCGATGCTGGAGTCGATGTTGGCGTTGGTGATGGTGTAAATGCTGGCTCTGGTGTCGGAGTCGATGTCGTCTTCGATTATGGCGCTGATGCTGGGGTGCTGGCGCCGGCGCTGGCGTCGATGGCGAGGTCGGCACTGGGGTCGACGCTGACGTGGGCGCTGGAGTGAGCGCTGGTATCGGTGCTGATTTTGATGTCAGTCCGGGCGTCGATGCTAAAAAATCGGTGCTGGTGCCAATGCTGACGTCGTTGCTGGCTTCGTCAATGGCGTCGGTGGCGCTGATCCTCCTCCCCGATCGCCTCCTCGACCTCTTCAGCCATGACCTTCGCCCTCATGATGGTCATCCGGCTTGGTGTCGGGTTCGGCGTCGGCACCAGAGTCGGAGCTGACTTGGGTCCTGGCGTCGGGCTCGGCGTCAACACCAGAGTGGACGCGGGTGCGAACGTCGGTCTGGCGGCAAGGTTCGGCCTGGCCCTCGGGGCGGTTTCTATGGACTGCCAGCCCGTCCCCCGCCCGTCAGGTACGGTCGCTGTTGCGGTGCTGCTGTTGGCGGCGCTGCTGGTCGCAGTCGTGGCGGTGCTCTTGCTGGTTGCAGTTGCGATGAGCAGCGCATGCGTCGGGTCAGGCGTCGACCTTGGCTTCGGGCTGGGCGTCGAGCAGGGCGTCGGGCTGGGCGACGAGCTGGGCGTCGTGCTGGGCGTAAGGCCTGGAGTCCTGTTGGGCGTCGGGCTGGGCGTGGCAGTGGGCGCTTCGCTGCTGCCGGTCACCGTCGAGCTCGTCGCGGCGATGCTGCTGGTTGCAGCCGTGCTGGACAAATTGGCATTGCTGTTTACCGTCGCGCTACTCCTCCTCCGGATCCACCTCCTCTTCCGGCGCGGCCTCTGCCTCCGAGACGTCCGTCTCCTCAACGATGCTGGTCTCCGCGGCGCGACGGGCGGCCGAGGCCGGCAGAGCTGGCGCCATCTCGTTGCCAGCGAGGCCCCCGCCGTCCAGAGGTCGGCGAGGGGTAACGCGCGATGCCACCGAGCGTGGCCGCGGCGCCAGTTGACAGCCCGGGCCGGCCTCCGCCGCGCGCTGGTCCTCAGCCAGGTGCTTCGCGAGGCTGGCCTCGGCCTCGCATGCCTGGCGCGCCACTGCAGTCTTCGCGGCCTCCACGGCTGCCTCCTCGAGGCGGGCCGCCGTCGGGCAGGCGACGCCAAGCGTGGGCGCGCGGGCGAAGTCGGTGCTCCTCTCGGCGGCGGCGTTGGTGTCGGAATGGGCGCTGACGTTGGTGCTGGTCGGAGGGCTGGGGCCCGTTGCTTTGGTCGGTGCTGGTGCTGGCGTCGACCTTGAAGTGGGCGTTGGCGTTGGCACGGGCGTGACGTTGCTGATCCCATCCTTTCTGATGCCAGGTCGCCGAGGTTGAACTTGAGGATGGCGGCCACCTCGGCCCAGTCCTTGGTGCTGATTGGGCGGCCGTGCCATGCGCCGCAGCCGAGGCGGGCGCAAGCCTTGCGCAAAGCGTTCCGTTCGCGGGGAGGCCCAGGGGTGAGCTTGGGGAGCCGGCCACCTGGATACCTCTCGAAGTGGGCGGCTGCCGCGGGCTGGCGGCAGGAGACAGGGGGGCGCGGGAGGCCCCCTGCCGCCTGCAGGTGCGTCGCGGGCGCTGCGGCCGCCATCGCGAGGAGCCGCCGCCACGCTCGTCGCCGCCCGTCACGGGCCCGGCCTGCCTGCCCCCCGGCCGCGGGGGGCGTCCCCGCATACGGCGACTTGAGCCAAAATGCATTGAGCCAAAATGTCTACGATGTTCCACGGAAGCCGAATCCTATCAAAAGAACCCCGGACAACCCCGTCTACTGCTGATACCATGACGACGAGACGACCTGCCCAGGACAGCCCCTCGGACATCCCAGCGGGGAGCCAGACAACCCCACTAGACAACCCCCTTTGGACGAGCCTCCCCGGGCTTTGTCTTCCACAAGATGTGGTACGTACTGAAGCGTCGTCCTCCTCCTCCTTTCCCTCCTTTCCCTCCTCCTTTTCCTCCCCCTTTCCTCCTCCTCTTCCTCCTTCTCATCATCACCATCATCATCATCATCAACAACAACGACAACATCATCATCATCATCATCATCATCATCATCATCATCAACAACAACATCATCATTATCCCCATCCTCCTCCTCATCCTCCTCCTCCGCTCACCCCTCTTCATCATTATCCTCCTCCTCCCCCTCATCCTTTCCTCCTCGTCCTTGCCCCTCTCCTCCTCATCCTCACTGCCACCATTAACGGCCATTGTCGTCTCCCTCAGCCTCATCATCAGATTTCTCGTCATCAGCATCGCCACCCCAATCCCCATCATACCCATCAGTCGTCGTCGTCGTCGTCGTCATCGTCATCATCATCGTCGTATCATCATCATCATCATCATCATCATCATCATCATCATCATCATCATCAGATCATCATCATCACCATCAGCATCATCATCACCTTCATCTTGTTCATCATCATCATCAACACCACCATGATTATCATCATCATTATCATCATCGTCATCATCGTCGTCGTCTTCATCAACATCATCATCATCATCATCATCATCCACATCATCATCATCGCCATCACCATCACCATCAGCACCATCAGCACCATCACCATCACCATCATCATCATCATCATCATCATCATCAACATCACCACCATTATCATCATCATCACCACCACCATCATCATCATCATCATCATCATCATCATCATCATTGTCATCATCATGATCATCATCATCAGCATCATCGTCGTCGTCAAAATCATGATCATCATCATGATCAGCATCATCATAAATAATCATCAGTATCCCCATTCTCCTCCTCCTCCTCATCCTCCTCCTCCGCTCACCCCTCTTCATCATTATTCTCAACCCCCCCATCATCCTTTCCTCCTCGTCCTTGCCCCTCTCCTCCTCATCCTCACTGCCACCATTAACTACCATTGTCATCTCCCTCAGCCTCATCATCATCATCATCATCATCATCATCATCATCAGCATCATCATCATCATCACTATCATCATCGTCATCGTCGTGACCGTCGTAATCGTGATTGCCGTCATCATCGTCATCGTCACTGTGATCGTCATCATCATCACCATCAGCATCATGACCATGACCATGACCATCACCATCGCCATCGCCATTATCATCATCATCGTCATCATCATCAACATCAGCAGCAGCATGAGCATCAGTGCCATCGTCCCCAGTGTCATCATCAGTATCATCATCGCCATCACCATCACCATCACCATCACCATCACAATCAACATCATCATTAGAATTATCATCCTCATCATCGTCATCATCACCGCCATCGCCATCAGGAAAAACATAGTCGTGATCCTCGTGATCATGATGATCTCCATCGTTACCTTCGTCATCTTCACTTCCGTCACCATATTTCCTCCTCCTCCTCCTCCTCCCATTTTATCCCCCCAATCCTTCTCCGCCGTCTCCCGATCCCCGCCTCTCACCGCAATTACGACAAGAACAAACACAAGAGTCCGCAGCACGGAAATCCCTAAGGCTACGCACCCGTTCGGCTTTCTCAGTCCGACTTTTCCTCCTCCTCCTCCTCCTCCTCCTCCAGCGAATTTTGGAAAGTCCCACGCTCGCCTCGCCACTGTCCATATGTGTATGAACTAGCTCGCCCGCCTCGCCGCGGTCCATCATGCCCTTCCTCCTGTCCGCCCTGGACGCGACGTTCTGTATCAGGGTGATGCCGAAATCGAACAGGCCGTGCAGAACGACCGACGGCATAACGACACACAGCAGCGAGCTGCCAGGCCCACCGGATGGGAACATCCTCCGGGCCAGGCCAAGCCCAATCAGGCCCGTCCACATCATGTGAAGGTTCGACGACAGAGCGCGAGCGAATACCACTTCCACCGGGCTTTCCTGAGGCATCCTGTCACTCGGCGAGAAAACGTACTTCATATTCTCCAGACACTCGAAGCCAGCCCCCCCCGCCAGCGAGCAAAGCAGCACGTGATACGGGGTAGGCGCCAGTTTGAACCACCCGCAGAAGACACGACTGGTGTTTGCTGGAAGACATCCAAAACAAGTCTCGGGCAGATCGCCCAGGCTCTTTCGCAGTCGGAGAAACAACCAGATAGCCTTGCCAGTTTCCTCAATCAGCCCTGGAGTCAGAATCCACATCCCTGCCACTGATATTCCACATGTCACCGTCATTGGACGAGGAAACGGTTGACCTGCGATCGTGTAGCCAACGTCGAAGTTCCCAGCGGTGCAGGAAGGGGAGATCATCTGCCACGCCATTTCCTCCAAAATTTCGAAAAACGCTGCGTATGCGCAGCCCAGGATCGCCCCCGAGAGGAAGAAATTTGCCATGAGGCCTGGATGCACACCATTCCGCTTCCCAAGCCGACCCCAGGCCCATATAAGCAGAATCGCCGACGGCAGCCAGCACATGGTGTAGCACACCAAGACATCCAACAGACTCTCCCGCGACCCCTGTAGGAAGAGGATGAGAACACGCAAGAGGAGCTTGGTAGGATCATGGATACACCCTGCGAAATGCTTAAGAGATCATGGGTTAAGAAACTCATAGTCTCAGAACTTGAATAAAAACCCAAATTTCTATTACAAATCTTGGGATTTACATTGAAACATTAAGAATCATCGAGACTCTGGCCGAAAACTTGGGTTTTCTTAAGCATCGCCTAAGGTGTACAAGCGTGAGCTTAAGCACCAGGATGAACCAAGGCGGGAGAGCAAGCACGGGCAAACACAAAGGCATGAGCAGCAGCACGAGCACAACAGCGCGGACGAAAACGATAACGAAAACGACAAATCCGATTACGAATGCGCGGGCGTACATGAGTACGGGTGCTAGTGCAAGCACGACTACGAATACGAACATGGGAGTTCATTTTTGATACCGGCATGTGACAGAGTCTGAACAGGTGTACAAGCACGACTGCGAGTAGAGTGTACAACGACTGGGAGTACGACACATGAGTATGGACGTAAGCATTCGGAATATTATGGCCATACCTAACAATTATCCTGGCGAAGGACCCAACCATGTGCAGTTGTGAGTACCGTCGTTGCGGATATCGCCTGCGGGGGATCTCCCCATGGGGCCATGAAGCATGCGAAGGGGGTGCCAATGAGAGGCGGGGCCACCATGTGGGCGCTGCCACTGGTGCTTTAGGCGGAACGCACTACGGGGCCGCGAAAAGTGTGAGGGGTGCGCCACAATGGGGCGGGGCCGCCACTGGGCCCTTCGGTGCAGCTCCCTATGAGGCCACGAAGCGCTGTGCTGGGCGGGGGTGACGCATGCGAACACTGCCACTGGGGTCTTCGGTGGAGCTCCCTAGGGCCACGAAACGCTGCGCTCGGTGGGGAACCGCATGCGAGTGCGTCCACTGTGTCCTTCGGAGGAGCTCCCCATGGGGCCACGAAACGTTGTACTGGCTGGGGGGTGACGCATGTGGACGGTGCCACTGGGGCCTTCGGTGGAGCTCCGCATGGGGCCCCGAAACGCTGTACTGGGTGGGGGGTGACGCATGCAGGCGGTGCCACTGGGGCCTTCGGTGGAGCTCCCCATGGGGCCACGAAGCGCTGTACTGGGTGGGGGAACCGCATGCGGGCGGGGCCGCTGGGGCCTTCGGTGGAGCTCCCCAGGGGGCCACGCAACGCTGTGCTGGCTGGGGGGGTGACGCATGTGGACGGTGTCACTGGGGCCATGGGGCCACGAAACGCTGTACTGGGTGGAGGTGACGCATGCGGGCGGTGCCACTGGGGCCTTCGGTGGAGCTCCCCCATGGGGCCACGCAACGCCGTGCTGGCTGGGGGGTGACGCATGCGAGCGGTGTCGCTGGGGCCTTCGATGGAGCTCCCTAAGGGAACACGAAGAGCTGTACTGGGTGGGGGTGACGCATGCGGTGCCTCTGGGGCCTTCGGTGGAGCTCCCTATGGGACCACGAAGCGCTGTACAAGGTGGGGGTGACGCATGCGGGCGGTAGGACTTGGGCCTTCGGTTGAGCTCCCTATGGGGCCACGACACTTGTCAGGGGTGTGCTGAAACGGGTGATGATGATGATAATGGAGGAGAGAGGAGGAGGGGGAGGAGGATGGAATGAATGAATGAATGAAGGAAGGAAGGAAGGAAGAACGCGGGGACCGTCTCTTCAAAACGAGAACCCAACACCACAGTATGGTTGGGAAAAAAACATGATGGTCGTGAGAGTGCGTACGCGCACGAAAACTAAGAGTACGGGCTTACGTACGAGTGCGATAGTAAGCCTGAGTATGTGCACTGACGAGTACTTCGTTAAAGAACATGGTCGGATAGAAGTGCGAAGATGCATGCGAATCTGAGCGCGAAGATGAGACCGTCCTTGTGAAATCACGACCACAAATAAGACGAGGACTACGGCTGATACTACCAAAACAAACAAAGGGCGGCGCCGCGGGCGCCCCCAAGGGTGAGCGAGCAACGACATATGTACATGTACGCCCTCCGCGGTCTCGAGTGCAAGAACGTCCTCGTTCAAACGCACTCCAGGGGAAGCTAACCGCGTACGTGTACATATGTTGCTGGCCTCTGAAGGGGTCCAGCGCCGATCTGAGAAATCCGCGCGGATCTTGGAAAATCAATATTTATGCCATGTGGGTCTGCGACGGCCGCGTAATCCTGCCGTTGCCGGGTGGCCTCGAAGGGCTCTCGGGTCATGACTCGGCCCCCTGGCGGCCGCTCGGGGGGGATCTGGGCACCCCAGGAACGCCCTCGGCGAGGCGCAGCTGCTGGAGAGCACGAGGGGCAACGTCAGGGGGGAGCCTGCTCCTGGGCTCATGGGGGGAACATCGGCCCGGAATCGGCGGTGCATCGCCGATCGATCGGCGATGGCCCTTGTCGGCGATCAGTGGGCGATTGGGGGTCGGTGTGTGTGTGTGTGTGTGCCCCCTGAGCTCATCCCCCTCCCAACGCTGGCCCTGGGAACACCCCGAGACGAGAAAACCCTCCCAAACCTCTGAAAACGCACGAACGCGGCCAAGTACAGCCCCTACCGATGACGTCCGACGAGGAGACCGACGAGGAGACCTCGAGCATCCACAGCAGGGGGGCCCCGAAGAGCACGGCGACGGCGCTGAGAGCCCTGCCGCGCCCGCCGAGCAACTCCCTGCCGAACGACTCGGTGGGTTCCCGGGCCGGCCCGGGCGCGGCCGCCGTGCCCCAGGCGCTCGCAGAGGTGCCTGGCGACGACGACGACGACCTACGACGTACGATCGACGACGACGACGACGACGACGACGACGACGACCTACGACGACGACGCCAACGACGATGACGAAGATGACGACGACGACGGCAACGACGACGACCTACGACGACAACGACGACGACGACAGCAACGACGGCGACGGCGGCGACGGCGACAACGACGACTTCCTCCTGCTCCTGCTCCTGCCCCTGCCCCTGCTAGTCCTGAACATTTTTCTCCTCCTCCTCCTCCTCCTCCTCCTCCTCCTCCTCCTCCTCCTCCTCCTCCTCCCCCTCCCACCCGCCCTCCTCCTCCCCGCCCTCCTCCCCCTCCGTTTCTTCCTACCCCTCCTCCCCCACACCTCGAACCCATTTTCTTGTAGATAATTCCTCACTGTCTTTCTTTCGCTGGACCTAAGTCACTGTGATGACGGCCGGTTGGTAATTGCAGTAGTGATGGCCATCAATGCCTGGACAGCCTCGTTCAAGGCGAAAGTTTCGGCTGTGAAAGAAAAACTCGGATCGCGAAGAAAAGCGTCTCCTATGATGATCGGGGCGGTCACAGTGCAGGCCTTCTTGCGGACGACGGCGTCGATGCACCATGCTGCCGCCAAGCGCGCCCCTGCCCTTGTGCCACCGTCCGTGTGAACCAAGACATTGGCAATCGCAAGGTCCGCGGTAGATAAGTCTCTGGCTCGAATCCACGATTTGCTCTTGTCAATCGTGTAGTTGGCCAAATAGTCTGCTCGAACATTCCAAGCCCGTTGCTGCCACCAAACGATATCGTCTATATCGCGCGCCGGGCGCCAACCGGATTGTATCACCTTGAAAATGTGAGAAATGAGGCGGTCGAATGGGGGGCGAAGCGATGGTCTGTAAGCACGATGGTTCCATCGACCACGCTGGCCAAAAACTTGCAACCCGTGATTAATACAATCCGCCGTGTCGATCCTTCCCAGGCTACGTCTGGAACGTTGTCGCCGTAGTCGTTCGGCAACTTGTCCAAAAAATGAGTGGCGACTCTCCTCCGCTTCGGGGAATTGTGTGTCTGGTGGTTGGTGTCCGCATGGTTTTCGCCGTGACTGTATCAACCCCAAGATTCGCAAATGTGAGATTCGAACTGTGGAAAATATGGTATCCATTATGATTCCGTGTTGCACGAGCTTCGCTTGCACCGCCGATCCACCCCGAAACTGTCCACGAAAACGTCCTCCCATTCAGCGCGGTGGCCATAAACATCGCGTTTCAATCCGAACTTTCGCCGTTTACGCTCGCTGCCAAGTAGTGGTCGAGACTGCTACCACTCTCTCGCACGGAACTGCCTTGCCATGCCTGGAAATTCGGCCAGGCCGTCAAGGGTGAAAACGTCACTCGCCAAGCATACTTGAAGACTTCCATCAAAATGCGGCTGCGCCGTGGTCGGATGTCCAATTTCTGGAAATTGCGTTCCAGGAAAGACGGGCGCTGCGGACCATGTGCTTGCCATGTTTCTCGCCAGGCTTTCGCCGCGATCGGAGTGCGCGGCGTTGCATGTGGAAGTCCCACCGCTTCGCTCTCAAAAGCGTACGTTGTGACAAATGCCACGACGCACATCCACAGGCCGCGCTCGCCAACGGCCTTCTGGCCCACGCCCTGAGCTTTGATTGGATGTTCCCTGACCCTTCGAATGCCCGGGCATTGGTCCAATTGTTCTTTTCTGCATCATCGAACCATTTGTTTAAAACTCAACGCTGCCATGGGTGCCACCCTCAGAACTCATTAACAATCCCGAGATGCTCATGTGCTGCACGAGCCAGACATGTGTGTTATATCTGCTGCGAACTCGACGTGATCCACGCCTTCCCTCGATAGATGCCCACACAATGTGCGCTCTAAAGAAAACAACATCCAGCAGAATCCGATATCGCATTCGTGACGTCCCGCACCAACGTGCGAAAATACATCCACGATAGAATCCATGAAGAAAAACTACCCGCCCAGATTCGATGGGTAATCCGGCGCCCCCCGCCATCGCCCATCGCATAGCCGTCGCTTTATTGAGACCACGATTCGACCAGAATCCCCAAGGCGCCCTCCAGCATGATATTGAACTCCTGAGGCATCTCATTTCCTCCCTACTGTCCTCTGCGTTCTACGTCGACGCTCTCGGAAGGAACAGCTCCGGGTAGGGCATGATTGCACGTCGTACCAGACACATCCCGCAGTAATGCTTTTGATCAGATTGGGATGCACACCCCAGGAGTGGAAAGTAGCTGACATCATAGCATGGTTCATGGTGTCATAAGTAGTTTCGATATCTAACACGCCCAGAATGAGATCCGCCGGCCCCCTTGTGGGGCCACCAGGCTGTAGGCGCGAGGTTCGCAGTTTCCTGTACCAGTTGTAGCTTGTAGTTTCCAGTGTTACAGTTCTGCTTCTTGCTGGTTACTGTAACTAGTTGATTGACCGCGCGAGGGGGGGGGAGGCCCAAACCAGATTTTTAGCGTCTCCTGGGCGCGTTGTCTGAATTGCTGGGGGGGCTCGAAATCGACACCCCTACGCAGATCCGCGGGGTCAGGGTCCAAAAACACAAGGGATTTGCCACATTTCTGAAATTCGGTGCCACCCCTCACGCAGATCCGCGGGGTCAGGGTCCAAAAACACAAGGGATTTGCCACATTTCTGAAATTCGGTGCCACCCCTCACGCAGATCCGCGGGGTCAGGGTCCAAAAACACAAGGGATTTGCCACATTTTTGAAATTCGGTGCCACCCCTCACGCAGATCCGCGGGGTCAGGGTCCAAAAACACATGGGGATTTGCACATTTCTGAAATTCGGTGCCACCCCTCACGCAGATCCGCGGGGTCAGGGTCCAAAAACACAGGGGATTTGCCACATTTCTGAAATTCGGTGCCACCTTTCACGCACATCCATCGCAAGGTGTGGTAACCCAAACTGCGAGAACTCCCTCGGCCCTTTAATCGCAAGGTGTGGTAACCAAGCCCGTAAACCATACACGTCTTACCAATCGCCAGGTGTGGTAACCCCTCTTGTGACCAGTTGGTTTTGCTGATTGCGAATCGGCTTCGCATGAAGTTTCGATACTGCTTCACGACAGCGCCAAGGCCTCATGACGTAGCTCTTCCATGGCCCATTCTCCGAGAGAGGGGGCCGGCGGCAAGGGGCGAAGCCCTTACGGATTTCTGTCCCAGCGACTCGTTGTAAAGATGCGCTGCCGGATCAAGCAAACTATATCGCTACATGAACGGCCTGGTCTAAACCCATACGTAGCCACCATGCTGAGGACATTGAACTTTGGATATGCGGCTGCAGACTTAACGCGTGCGATTTGGAGCAGACGTCCAGCCTGCCTACCCGCGGCCAGAAGCCTTCCCCAACTTTAATGTGAATATCCCTTGTAGCAAAACGCTCCAATGAGAAAGCTTGGGCCCAATCCGCCAATCCAAATAGTCGCTTATTGCCGCCGCCTCCAGGGAAAAAACTCGGTCACGTTGCACGGCATGGGAGTTTCGACTATCCCCAAACCTCTACTTACCAAGATCGAAAGCTGATTGCCGCCGAGGGCCCCTCTCCGCCGTGAGCAACGCGGCATGCACGCGGCTCGGCTTGTCCACCGCGGAGATGTTCTTCAAGCAGGACTCGTTCTTCGTAAGTTTCGCCTTGCGGGTGGTCCTGTGCAGGTCTTGGAGCAATGCTTGCTTATCGTCGGGCTCATCACTGGCAACTGAAAACCTGGCAATGTTGACAGGGTTATTGATATCGTGCTTAGGTTACTGCGCTCGAGCGTAGGTAGTGCGAAAATGAATGCCAACAGCCGCGCGCAATACCGACTGCTGATTAGCTGGCAGATCAACGCCAACGCCACCAATGCAAACTTGTCAAAAACAAGACACGTCCGAAGAGGAAGCGGGAGACCAACCTGTCAACGAAGGTTTCGTGGACGCCAGGTAGTTTATCGGGCCGCGGCATGTCAACTGTGCGAACACTGGTTTGTGGTCGGAACGATTTAACAGGTTGCCCGTCATTTTCTGATCCCACGCAACCCCGAAAAGGCAGGCAGGCACTCTAAGGACATCGATTCGGGACTTCACAAATCTCGCCGATGACATGGTGTGGGTCCACGACCTCTTTTTCACACATTCCCCATGCTCCCCCACCCGACAAGTGCGGAGCGCGTTGAGAAATTGCACCCCTGGAGCCTCTGTCCAAGAACCGACCAATAGCATCTTCGCGTGAGAGTGTGTTTGACACCTGTCCAAACAAAAATCCCCAGTCGGGTTGTTAAAGAACGCTGGCATCTGGACATACGCATCGGTACCCAGGCCAATGCCGAACTCCACTAAGGAATAAACTACGTAGTCGAATGCGTTGGACGACCAACGATGTTTTTTTCAAACGCGCGCTGTGCCATCCCATCTTCTTCAGGATGGTTTATACTGTGAGCTGATGTGTATATATATGTTGGGCGCCCGAGTTATCCGGGGTAACTCGGGTCCGGGGTAACTCGGGTTTGGGTTCCCGAAAAACGAACCCGAGTTAGCCCTGACCCGAGTTACCCCTGATGATTCGGGGGCTCTGGACGCCCGAGTTATCCGGGGTTTCTCGGGTCCGGGGTAAGTCGGGTTCGGATTCCCGAGAAACGAACCCGAGTTATCCCTGACCC